GTCTTCCCCACAATGGTCACTGCTGGCAGCTATAACCACCAGCAGTGATCGATTAAAAAAAAAAACCAGGAGGGGCTGGTTGTTCTGAAGTAGATCAACAGATTGACTTCAACCAGCCTGACCATTGATGGATCGAAACGCGGCCTGTTCCTTCTGAACCAGATGAATTTCAATCCATCTATGGCTGGCTTTTCATTAGCACCACCACCTATCCCCTATCTACATGTTAAGCCATGGCCATAAAACTGACTGCTGAGCAACCCACCTAAATAAATTGAGAGTGTTTAACCTGTCCTGGAGCAACCCAATTAATATATAAATGGAACAGTTTTACCTGTGGAGTGCAGCTGCTGATGGGCCGTATCTCGTTGGTGAGAGGTGCCATAGACACCAGGAGAGAATAGTTCTTATTTAATACTCGACTGCAGGTTGCTGGGTCCAGGCCCAAAAGGCTTTCACATCGCAAGAGGTCCAGTGGTAGGCCTGTTTTATACAACAAAAGATAGCCACCATTGTCCAAAACTGAAATCTGACTACAACAGGTCACTGAAGATCACCATTCATTGCACTATATTACCAAACAGAGCCTTTTGATGTCACAGCATTTTGAACCCTTTCAATGCCAGAGCTGTTTTTTGTGTATTGTTGCATGTGGTAAAAAAAATCATTTTAGGCCTGAAGATTAATTAAACCCCCCAAATATTACAAAACTTCTGAAAGCAGACACCCTGGGGAATAAAATGTTGGTGGTAGCAGGCTAAAAATTTTGGGGAGTTTTAAGTGCTTGGGTGTAGCTTTATTTTTTTTATTTTTTTATTTTCATTTCACTAAAACGTTATATCACATACAGGACAAACAGTCTTCTAAGTGATTATAATTCTTTTTAAGACAGGTTCTCTTTAATGAAAAATTGGGGGTCTTTTAGACCTCTGGGGGTTTATTTACTAAAGCTGGAGAGTCCAAAATCAGACTCACTTCTGCATAGAAACCAATCAGCTTCCAGGTTTCATTGCCAAAGCTTCATTGAACAAGCTGAGGTTAGAAGCTGATTGGTTTCTATGCAGAAGGGAGTCTGATTTTGGGCTCTCCAGCTTTAGTAAATAAACCCCATGATGTCTGACCTGCACTCCGTTAGATTCTTCTCTGGCTGCAAGGACCAGGGAGAGTTGACAACAGAAACTGGAAGTGACATTTTTAGATGTTATCTCTGGATTCATTCTAGCTACGGTAGATCAACGACCCAATATTCTCTGGCCTCCCTCTCCTCCACCCAATGACACTCACCATGCGGGTCCCGGGTGTGCAGGTATAACAGTAGAGCCTAGGAAACATGGTGCAGGGGGATCACAGTAAGTGACTGAGTAGTAGTACAGTCACCCTATCACTTTCATTAGCAAGCTGGCAGTTGGCATGTGGAGTGCACCCCCCTTCCGAACCTGCTACCACCATTGTAAGATATATGGCAGTGGTAGTAAAAGGGTTAATGCTGGGACTGAAGTTACTTATTATATCTGAAAGGTTCATCACTAAGTTCTAAATTACAAACATGACTTCTGAATAATGCCGAGGCCTACAGCATAATATTGTAATGCCCCTAAACTATACATTAGTGTTATGTAGCATAAATGGAATTAGTTTTCTCTTGTTAAGCCCGGGAGTCAGCTGAAGAATAGGAAGTGTGAGAACTCCACTGTATTTATCTTAGACTTTACAATTACTACAGAACTTGTAAAGCCATACAGACACAGCAAAACAGTATACTGTACACAACATAGAATATATATTACTTCAGCTTCAAGAATTAAAGAGATTCAGAAAGTTTCGGGAAAAAAAACATATCTGTAGCACCCTGCAAGAGAAGAGCCAATGATATTCACCTCTCAGTCACACTGTGTTTCCCACCCTCCCACTGTTTCAGCACTGCAGTTTTCGTAAGTTTTTTCAGCATCTGACCTGAAGCTTTAGATTCCTGTATCCGCCACCCCACTCTGTGGCTCCATATTCCAACTCCTGCATCACTACGAAGTTAAGAGATACACTATATTGCCAAAAGTATTGGGCCAGCCCTCCAAATCATTGGATTCAGGTGTTACAATCACCTCCATGGTCACAGGGGTATAAAATCATCACCTAGGCATGCAGACTGCTTCTACAAACAAATGTGAAAGAATGGGTCACTTTCAGGAGCTCTGAATTCAAACGTGGTCCCGTGATATGATAGGTCACCACCTGTGTAATAAGTCCATCTGTGACATTTCCTTGTTACTAAATATTCCACGGTCAACTGTTAGTGGTATTATAACAAAGTGGAAGCAACTGGGAACAACAGCAACTCAGCCACCAAGTGGTAGGCCACGTAAAATGACAGGGCGGGGTCAGCGTATGTTGAAGCGCACAGTGCACAGAAGTCACCAACTGTCTGCAGAGTCAATAGCTAAAGATCTCCAAACTTGGTGTGGCCTTCAGATTAGCACAACAGTGTGTAGATAACTTCATGGAATGGATTTCCATGGCTGAGCAGCTGCACCCAAGCCTTACATCACCAAGTGCAATGCAAAGCATCGAATACAGTGGTGTAAAGCACGTCACCACTGACTCTAGAGCAGTGGAGACGTGTTCTCTGAAGTGACCAATCACGCTTCTGTCTGACAATCCGATGCATGTGTCTGGTTTTGGCGGTTGTCAGGAAAACGGTACTTGCCTGACTGCATTGTGCCAAGTGCAAAGTTTGACCTCAACTAGATAGAACACCTTTGGGATGAATTAGAGCAGAGACTGCGATCCAGACCTTCTCATCCGACATCAGTGCCTGACCTCATAAATGTGTTTCCGGAAAAATGGTCAAACCTTCCCATGGACACCCTCCTAAACCTTGTGGATGGCCTTCCCAGAAGAGTTGAAGCTGTTATAGCTGCAAAGGGGGCGGGGCCAACTCAATATTGAACCCTACGGACTAAGACTGAGATGCCATTAAAGTTCATGTGCGTGTAAAGGCAGGCGGCCGATAACTTTTGGCAATATAGTGCATGTCATTAGCACACCAAGGATTTTTTGAAATAGTGTCCAGAAGTTTATTGACGTGATCACATCACAGCATAGAATAGTGTCATTTTGGGGCTGTACAGGACCCCTTCTTCAGTCATATGACCTGCTTGAAGAAGGGATTCTGCTTGGCCCCAAAATGTCACTACTCTATGCTGTGATCACTTCAATACACTTCCAGACACTATTTCAAACATCCACAGTGTGCTGGTGGCATATCCTTTAACCCTTTGAGGACCGTAAGATTTTGGAACGCCAAAATAATCAATTTTTTTGTTTTTAAAGTTCGTACACTTCAATTGCTGCAACTAAGCCATTTCATGAAATAATTGGCAAAAAGCTAGATCCATTTGTTGTTTGTTGATAAGAACTAATATTTTGACTCAAACCAAAAAAAAAAAAAAAAAAAAAACAAGTTTTCAGTTCTTAATCAGATGATACACGTAATTAAAAACATGGGACAAATACGTCCCTTGGTCCTCAAAGGGTTAACCCTGTGTCAGTACCAATTCTGAGCCAGTGGTCACTGCAGCACCCAGTTACCGCATGATCATATCCAGGAATACATGCGTTGTCCAGGAATACATGCGGTGGGAATATTTCACTTAGTGACTACATCACTAAAAGACTTGGCAGGGATGTGCAGGTCTGAGGAAGGAGCCAAATACATTCAACGGTTTGGGAAAGACAAGCCACCAGAGAGGTTAGTATACCACCTTGTCTATTGCAGGATAGTTTGGGAACAATGATTTTGCTGCTGTTCATTCAGATTTGTTTTTTGAAGGACAACATATACAAAGAGAAAGCTGTGATCAATCATTGTGCAGCAGGAAACTCATTAACAGATTTTGAAAAGTTTGAAAGAACAATTCTGGAGTTCAATCATTTACATGTCTATGATAGATGAACAGGGACTGCACCCCAGGTTCTGTACGGGCTAACACTGGAATCACTTGTAGCTGTGATCACTGGCTTATCTTCAGACTTCTGTACCTGCAGCAGCTTGGTCAGGTTGTGCAAGAAGATCCTTGTTGTGCCGCAAGAAGAGGATGGTGTTCCGGAGGGTGAGAGCGTGATCAAAGTACCTCTGAGCTTCTCCTTCCCCTGTGCTTTGTACCTAGGCCAAACAGACAATGACATCACTTTATACATCATCAAAAATTTTTTTAGATGCTCTCCATCAACACATTCTACAGTTGCAAATCTAGCCGTGTATGGTGGCACAGAACACTGAAGGTTTCCTCCTATGCATAGGAACTGTATTCTTATTTTATAGCATTGAAAAAAAGAAAGCCGAAATGTAAAAAAAAAAAAAAAAATTGTGGATATGGGCAGAGGCTGCACTTTCGTTCCATGCACCTTGACCACAGACAAAAATTTTAGCATAAAAAAAAATAGTAAATTGACCATTAATGCTGTGGCAGATCAGACATTGCACATTTCTTACCTTTTCTAGTTCTACTAAGAAACTGTCCAAAGACTCATCTGATAGTTTGCCCACTTCAAACATGGTCACCGCATGGCTCTTCAGGTTCTAATACACAGAAACAAATGAGTAAAAATGACAGGCTGGGTACTACTAATTATTCCATTCGCCAAATGTTGCCACAAGGAACAGGGAACATGTCATTTTCTACTGCCAGTGTAATAATGTTTCTCAAAGCCAAACAAAGCTGACAAGTTATACAGCCAAGCTGTACATCCTTAACCCCTCGCCTACAGGGCACTTGTACCCCCTTCCTGCCTAGGCCAATTTCCAGCTTTCAGCGCTGTCACGCTGTGAATGACAATTGCGCGGTCGTGCAACATTGTACCCATATGCAATTTTTATCATTTTTTTGAGACAGATAGAGCTTTCTTTTGGTGGTATTTAATCACCTCGGGGATTTTTATTTTTTCTTAAACAAACCAAAAACCACTGAAAATTTTGAAAAAGAAATGTTTTTTCTTAGTTTTTGTTATATAATTTTGTAAATAAGTGATTTTTCTCCTTCACTGATGTGCGCTAATGAGGCTGCAGTGATGGGCACTGATAGGCTGCACTGATGGACACTGATAGGTGGCACTGATGGGCATTGACAGGCATCACTGATGGGCACTGAAAGGCAGCACTGATACATGACACTGATATATGGCACTGATATATGGCACTGACAGGCACTGATAGGTGGCACTGACTGGCACTGATAGGCGGCACTGATTGGCAGCACTGATTGGCAGCACTGATTGGCATTGATAGGTGGCACTGACTGGCACTGATGGGTGACATTGAAAGGCAGCTCAGATGGGCACTGATATGTGGCATTGATGTGCACTGGTATGCACTGATATGTGGCATTGATGTGGCACTGATGGACACTGACTGCTGGCACTTCTGGGGCCACACTGATCATCAGGGCACACTGATCATCAGTGCCCTGATGATCAGTGTACATGTCCCCTCCGCGGAAAGCCAATTACCGGCTCTCCTCTCGAGCTGTCAGCGGGACAACTCGAGAGGAGAGAAATGCCGATAACCGGCATTTCCGTGTTTACATGTGATCAGCTGTGATTGGACACAGCTGATCACATGACCGGGCCGACATCTTCGGCTCTTTCCGAAGGACACAGCGGACTGGCACGATCGCCACGCTGCACGCTCCTTGAGCCGCGCATGCGCAGTGAGAATGGTAGGACGTCATATGACGTCCTATCAGAACGAGAAAAACCACCTTGCGCCCGTCATTGTACTATAGGGGGGGTGGAAGGTGGTTAAATAAAGAACCATTTCCCAAACTTATGGTGTTTTAGGAGGTGCAAACAAAGTACAACCATGGGACCATTTTCATTAGAAAGCTGATGGTCCGCTTGTGGAGTGCATGCACACTGTGTAACCCGCTCCCCTGCACTGTAACACATACTGCAGTGGCAGAAAAAGGGTGAAACAGCTTCTGCTTGAAAAAAAAAAAGGCAAATAGACTGTGCACTTTGCAAGTGCAGTAGCTGCAGAGCTTAATAATTGAGGTTAAAGTGGAAGTAAACCCACTTTTGTATCCTTTACCTACATGCACCGTTTAGAAGATACTGTACAAGTGCCGGTGGCATCCCGTCCATTGAGAGTCGTGCCACGTTCGAAAGTGCGTGGGAATGGCGACATTGCGCCTTCGCCAATCAGATGGCCACAACTCGCAAACCAGGAAGAAAGATTGGGTGAAGATGAAAGCCTCGGGGAGCTGTGACAGCGCTTTGTTTTCAGGTAAATCTTTCATAATGTGCTAGTATGGAAAGGAGGGAGAAGATTCTTTTTTTTTTCTTTGTGGTTTACTACTGCTTTAACCTCCTTAGCGGTCTGATTATGTCAGTATTTCTGTGCTCAAAGCGGTACATTATTTTCAATGGAAAGATGTTGTTTTTTTTTCTTGTAGGCCTGTAATTCTTAGGAATAATTCACTGAAATCTGTCCAAACAAGAGTCTAGTAAACATCCCGGGTATGATAAAATTTGAAACACAAAATCATAAATTATAATATAATAATAATAAATTGAATTCAATAATGTAATCAAACCAAAAACACTGAAATTTGAAATATAGCGCCAAGTTCGCACATCAGTGAGCAAAGTCGCAAAATAGTTTTCAGTGTCTGATGATGAATTTCCCCCACGAATCATTATCACTCAATTCTGCAAGTGGTTCTGATTTACTATCGTGTTCTCTAGTTGGTCTAAAACTGATTTTGACCTAAAGGGACGCTTTTTGGAACACCATGGACTTTTCTCAGTTTCCAGGCAGAAAGGATGGTAAAAATGCAGGCAGGGCACAGGACAAAGCACTCGGGACAAAATGTATGAGAAATGGTTTGAGACAGTAATGGAATACTATCAGATTTTAGTGTATTGAGTGAATGTAAAATTTAAAAACTTTTGAAATTCCCGCCGGCTCCGTCCCCCGTACATCTCAATGCTCGCAGGGAACCAAACCCGGAAGACGGATGCTGGCATCGGCCAGAGGACATGGCCGGGGACGCTGCAGGGAGCACATCGTGGGAGCGCAGGACAAGGTAAGTGCTGGAGGGATCCTAGAGCAATGCTGCAGTGTACTCCCGAGTGTAGCTCAGGGTTACCGCTTCTGGAACTGAAAGTTAACCCTGAGCTACACTTGGGAATACCGCCAGGGGGGTTACGTTTCACTTTGCAAAGAATACCCAATCACATGCAATAAAAATAAAATAAAAAAAATAGCATTTTTGCTTGCATATGGTTGGAAGATGAAAGTCAGCAGCAATCCCTCTCATTTAATAAGCTCTGGAACTGCACTTGCAAAGTGCACAGTATTTAGTAAATCAATCCCAGCGTGTTGCTCTAGCGAGGGTATTTCTGGTCACCAACACCCTGCAATGAGCAAGTGAGAATAAAAAAAAGGATTTCCAATAGGAACTATGAAATGTAGAAAACAAAACTTTTCTAAGATAAAACAGTGTTGACAGAATAAATCACACATGATAAATAAGAGACAGTTATCTTTGTTGTCTCCGTAATGAAACTTCAGCCTACAGTGAAGATAGATGACACATTTAAAGGGCATTAAATGGCTTACTGGTGACAGATTCCCCATCATCAGGAAGGCAGTGAGAGTTGAATCGAAAAGAAAGGCGATACGTTTCGTGTGTCCGATGGTTAAGTTCAGGCTGCTCACGCTGGACGTGTCTGCTGTCACAACAAAGAATGGTATAAAAATTCAGAAGAAATACATAAAGTATAAGTTCACTCTAAAAAAAAAAAAAAAAAAAAAAAATGCCCATTTTTCTGCAGGTAAAAAAAAAAAAGTGCATTTACTATTTTTTTTTGTGCAGCCTGGAAAGCATTGCACCAGTGATCAGCAGATTGCTGGTGCAATGCAGGATTCTTGCAAATCTGCCAGCCTGTTTGCTCATATCTCATACGGGCAAGCAGATACACTGTGATAGGAACAATCGATTAACTACCCCAGCTCTCAACAGCGCCATGGTAGTTCATTAAGAACTACAAGCTGACAGCTGCAAAGACTGTTGGGACTTGTAGTTCATTCATGGGACTGTGAAAATGACTGACGCGGCCATGTGGGTGGAGCCCTGCATGGCTGCGCTGTTTCCAAGAAGTGACAGCTAGTATGGGGAGCTACTCCCTGTACTACTGCTGTCACAGGGAGAGAGGGCAGTGGGCTGCGGATGCAGCAATGGGAACATGTTACATGTTCAACCCTAAAAACTGGTGGAACATGTAAAACGTTCCCAAGCTTATCCTTTAAAGTGAATTCAAACTCAAGAACAGGAATTTAATATACTTTTATTCCTATATTTTTACCAGCTGATCCTGCTAGACTGACAATTTATTATTTATTTCAGGTACTTCTATAGCGGCGTCAATTTACGCAGCGCTTTACATATATATTGTACATTCACATCAGTCCCTAACCCTCAAGGGGCGTACAATCTAAGGTCCCTAACTCACATTCATACATACACATACTAGGGGACAATTTAGACAGGAGCCAGTTAACCTACCAGCATGTCTTTGGAGTGTGGGAGGAAACCGGAGTACCCAGAGGAAACCCACGCAGGCACAGGGAGAACATGCAAACTCCAGGCAAGTGGTGCCAGGGTTGGGATTATACAATGCTGACACACTGTACTATGTTTATGGTGGAGAAGCATTGTCACCCTAGCACAGAGTGTTAAAAACTACAGAACACCTCCAACCTCTCTTCTCCATAACATTGGAGGTGGGAAGGGGAGGGGGGTGTTTGGCAACCTGTACTCCACAGATGAGTACTGGGAAGGCTGATAAACATTGTCTAATATTTACATTCAGTTTTAAACAGTAATGCATTTTGTCTTGCACCACCTTACTGTAATGTTTTGTAAATGAGGATCAAAGTAAGAGAGGGGGAGATGTCACTGTACACTAACAAGGCTGGACTGCATTGCACAGTGGGGTAAATCTAATAAATGGAGCTTGCTGACTGGAAAAGAGAGCACAGACATGACCTCATCAATGAGCTGCTACTCCTCCACTATCTAGTCAAAGTTTTGGCCAAAGTCTTATTTCTTTAACAGCAGTGAAGGAAAGTAAATGGTCAGGACCTGAACATGGCATCTAGACTAGAAAACAGTAGATAAGGACAGCTCAAACACATGTATTCTAATTGTTCTTTACACAGTTAGGAAAAGAAAAAAAAAATAACTCCGCTGATATATAGAAAAAGTTATGGAGGAAACCAATTGGTTATTCTCAGTGACATTTCTGCATCACACATGTGTTTATGCAGGATATCTTAGGTCCCTTTTTTTTATTCATAGACTGTAATAAACATGTGTCTTCTTACCTTGGTCCTCCTGGCTGGTGGTATCAGTATCTGTGGCCGAAGATGTCAGATCTTGTACAGGGCTTTTGTTCTCTGTACTCTCCCAGGACAAAAGCATCTTCTGAGGGTCTAAAGTGCTTCTGTGGATTGTAAAGTGCACATTCTGTAGTTCTGATCTCAATGAACAGACGAGGTGGATTTACTAAAGGCAAACAGACGGTGTACTTTGCAAGTGCAGCTGCTCCAGAGGTTAGTAAATGGGATAAAGCTTTACTGTGCAAATACCCAATCACATGCAAGAAGAAAAAAACAAAAAACTTGCACAAGATTGGATGATGGAAGTCAGCGAAGCTTCCCCTTATTTACTGAGCTCTGAAGTAGCTGCACTTGCAAAGTGCACAGTCTACCTGCCTTTAATAAATCAACCCCATGATGTCAGTTTAATAACAGGGTTTGAATGTGTAATAGTGTCAAACCTAGTATTCTAAAGCAGCCCAAAGCATTTCTACTAAAGATCCAATGCTTTGATTTCAAGTGAATCGGTCTGATCTATCAAGGTAATCAAGCAAAGGATACCACTCTAGTAGCAGAACTTTTCATTGCCTGCAAATACCCATAGTGATGCATAAACATGGTGCCAGGAATTACCTCTCCAAGAGCCCTACCATTTACAAATACAATGTAGATTTGGCCATAGATGGATCGAAATTCGGCTGTTTCAGAAGGATCCATCCAAATTTCGATCCATGTGTGGCTGTTCCCACTGCACAGAAGTCGGTCTAACGATTGACTTCAGTTGAATGGGCTTGTTGGACATTTTTTCTCAATCAGCGGCTGCTGATCAGGGTATTCTGATAGTGGAGAGTCCACGCTGTCAGAATAAAAAGTCTCAGCAGGGAGGATTCCTCTAGCCATCTCAATTGTGTGGCTAATCATCTATGGCCAGCCTTAGAGTCTCTACAGTCAACTAAGGTTCTGACACTGAACTACTGAATAGCTGGGGTGGGATTTAAAACAATAAACAAAAGTCACTTTGCTCAAAATTAAGCCAAAGTTGAGGCCCTGTGTGTAGTGAGTAGATATAGGATTATCAAAAGCAGAGCTCAACAAATCCCAGGCGCCAGGTGGCCAATGGCGACTAGAAATACACACTGCCTCCCATACACTTCCA